CTACTACTCCTACTACTCCTACTCCTACTCCTACTCCTCCTCGTCCTCCTCCTCCCACTCCTCCTCGTCCTCCTTATCCTCATCCTCTTCCTCCTCCTTCTCCTCCTCCTGCTTCTCCTACTCTTACTCCCGATCCCTTTTCCTCCTCCTCCTCCTCCTCCTCCTCCTCCTCCTCCTCCACCTCCTCCTCCCCCTCCGCCTCCCCCTCCCCCTCCCCCTCTGTCAGTGGAGCGTGTAGTCCACGGATCTCAGCCTTTCGCTTCGAGATGTCCTTACAGAAATTGACGAGAAATCTATATATATATATATATCTTGATATACGGCGGGTCGTACAGCTCGGCAGAGCTCCTATGTTCTCAACTGTAATTATTGATGGCAAACGAGAGACAGCGAGAAGCAACCTTTTGACAAAATAATCCAAGCGTGCGTGTACGGTCCCCCTGAGCTCCGGACCGAGTTTCTTGAAACTCACCAGACTGGCTCCAGTCTGGCTTTGCGCCAGATTGGCTGCGGACAGGCGGCCTAACAGGGCTGCACAGGGTTCTCACGATGGGCTCGCTGGGCTCACATTATCACAGAGGGTTGTCTCTCTCTCTCTCTCTCTCCTTCTTCTCACAGTATCGAACTCTGAACGAGACTGACATGCCCCGAACCGTCTGTGAAATCCTCGCCTGTCTGTCCACATAGCTCAGAGGGTTCATAATGCCAAACATGACCTGGTACAGTGAACTTCCGCCTCGTCACTGAGGCGTCGCATCTTGCATCATCTGATGTCGCAGTCCAGGGTGACGATAGTCATTCACGATGTCCAGGTCAGTGTCCTCGATCTCCATGTAGTCAGGGAAGAGCTTCCACGCATCATCTGCATCCACTGCGAAGCCCGTCTCGAGCGTGTCCAAACCCTTCTGTTTCCGGTGCTTCTCCGAGATGAAGTTGGAATGGTAGACCAGCTTCCAGGTACCTCGTTGCTGCCAGACGTTGTAGCTCGCCCAGGCCTTCTCCGCGTTCTTCGTCATGCAGTCACTGAGCTGGGCGCCACTGTGACACCAACGAAGTGATGTCGCCGTAGCCGCCATACCTCTCTTCAGTGCCAAGGCCTCCAGAGCGCTCCTCTTGTCCTTCATGCCCAGCGCGCTGCTCTCGGACCTATCCAGCGCGTCAAACACTCCACGGCAGTCTAGTACCAGCGCTCCCGGAATTCGAGCACATCCTTGCGCCCAGTGCTTCAGAGGAACTGGACCAATGAGGATCTCGCTCAGCAAGAGGCGGCAGAACTCCAACTCTTCTTGGGCTTCGCTGGCTGCTTGAACTTCAGCTGCGCTTGAGCTTCGGCATACCCTGGGTAACTTTGCTGGTGCCCATGAGACCAGTGAAATCGGCGCCTCCTTATTCTGCAGCAGCGCCTGGTCCGCCATAAAGATCAAGAAGCCGCCTTGCGATGACCCATCTCGGCGCACGTTCCACGCCGCGTCCGAGTAGCCCACCAGACACGGATTGATGTGCTTCTCCATGATCAGCTCCTTGACCGCTTCCACTCGCGCTCTCCTGACCAGCTTGTTCGCCTGCATCAGGGTGTTGATCGTCGCCGTGTTCGTGTAGGCTAGTAACAGCGACAGCTCCGCGCTGCTGAGTGGAACACCTTGAGTGGATAGCCACATAGGTTGTCCAAAAACTGCTCGTAGATGGGAAGCCTCTCCAGGTGTCACTCCAGCTTCTGGATCTGTCCGACGTTGAGCGGGTATGTCGATCTCCTTCAATTCCTGCGCGTAGTCGACCATGTTCAGATGGATGCGACCCCAGCTCTTGGTACGACCATCATATTCTTGTCGAATGCGAGCCCCACACTGAACGAAATCTTGCGTCTCCCAGCTGCCCCACTCGTAAGCGCCATGTACTTCTTGAAGTGCGTCTACCGCGGCATGAGAAGCACTGTTGATCGCAATCATGAAGTTGTCCACGTGTGCTACCGCAATGCCGATGAGACGGCCTTCGGAATCTCTTAAGAACCACAGGCACGGCTCCGTCACCGACTCGACCCAGACAAGCTTCTCCATGTCCTTGCGCACTCTAGTCCACCACCTTCTCGGAGCGTTTACCAAACCGTAGACGGCCTTCTTCAGCTTGATGCATTGATGATGTTCAAGTCGCAAGGCTTCTCGAAGTTATTTGACGGGTTCCGCTAGAACGTTCCGATGTTATTATCCTAGATCTCCTTGAAGAAAGGCAGCCTTCACATCGCCCTTGAACACCTGGAACCCATCGATGCTGAGACTCCCAAGAACATCTGTCGCGCTCTGCGGCTGCACGTAGGGGATGCCGTCTTGATTTGTCCCAGGCTCGGATCCGTATATCCAAGAACCACCAGACGCGCCTTGAGGTCGCCCGCCCCCTTCTTGGCAATGACCCAACGCATCTTCATTAACGCTCCGGGATGTACTCCAGCACGACTGGCCGCTTCACATACGCGATACTTCAAGAAAGACTTGATCTCGTTCTCCTTGGCGGACGGCAGCTGCTTCTTCTCCTCCGGTGCAAGACCCTTCAGCTTGACCTCAACCTTGTTCAGCTTCACCAACGCTGCCAGCATTCTCTCTGGATTCTTCTCCAGCTGGCCCAGGTCCTTCTCGTCTATCGTGAAGCCCACTAGTACTGCGAGCCCTGCGTTGTCCTCGGTGGAGTAGCCGACGAGGTCTTCCTGCTTCGCCTTCCGTGAGTACTCCCAGGGCGACCTCCACTCCGGAGAGACTTCTTCTTCAGGATCTGCGCGTCCCAGATCGGCCATGTAGACGTCAGGCACCTTCGCCTTCAGCATTTCCATGTAGGCCACGAAGTCGGCGCGATGTCGCTTCAGGTCTCGATCATCAGGAGGTTCAACACTCGCTTCCCGCTTGTTGATGCCCTCTGGAGGTGGCTCGCTGCCCCAGGGAATTTCGGCTTGAGGTCTGTCAGCAGGTCTGTCAGGTACTCGATCTGGCTCTTCTGGAACTTCTGCTGATTCTCCTGGTAGATCCTCTTCTCCGTGATCAGGTCCATGTTCGTCGGCTGCCTCAGGGAAGAGGTGATCTCCGTGGTCACGAGGTGGTTCTCGGTGTTGATCTCCTCCCGGTCCATCTTCGCCTTCAGGAATGTCATGCCATTCATCTGGTCCCGGTTGGTCTGCTAAGTCGTCGAACGAGCCCTTCGTAAGGTCACGCACTAACTTCTGGAACTGGTCTGAGCTGCCTGCCGACATGCTCTCCAGCGTATGCTCCGCCTTCGTGACGGTGCGTAGGTGCGCTGCTGCTGCTCGCACCAGTCGATCACCATCCACAAGCCAGAGACAACTCCGCGACGTTCTGCGACTCCGTTCTTGACCTCGCGCTCTTGCGTCAACACCGTAGCTGGACCATGGAAGCGCCCAGACATGCCCTGCTTCGTCTTGTGGCTGTTACCCTTGGCGCTCCTCCAGTAGTGTGCCTTTTCGCCAGGCTCCCAGACCTTGAACGGTCGCGTCTTGGCCAGCAGCGCTCTCTTCGTCTTCTCGGACAGGTAGTGGTCTACACAGGCCTTGTACGCGGTCCGCTTGTTCAGCACGAGCTTCTGAAACTGATCCCCCTTCACCTCGGCGCTGAGAGTGGAGGGATTCTCCTCGTCGTGTAGACCATGTCCAGCAGGAGTGCGACCCATGAGGAGCATCAGTGGACTGTAGCCGTTGCGCCTCATCAGGTCATTGTTCGCGGCGCACGCCCACGTGAAGATCTCCTGCGGCTCGACGTCGTCCGGGACTTCCCAGGCCATCCGAGTCGCAATCTCCTTGATCGTCTCTATGCACCTCTCTACCACGCCCATGCGCCAATGAGCTTCTCCAGGTTCTGGTCGCCATTCAATTCCATGGCCTGATAGCCACGCACGACGTTCACCTTGTCGAAAACAACCTTCAGAATCTGATCTAAGAACTTCAGGTTTGCCGTAGTGCTGGATCCAGCTCTTCAGGACCGTCTCCTTCATCTCCTTAGCTGTGGTGTTGCCGCAGTTATTGTCCATCTCCTCCTTGTTGAGTACGTGGCAAATAGTGAAGCGACTTCCGTAGTCTGCACACAGGGTGCCTCTTATGTGATATGCCCTCTGGGGATGCGTCCAATAGAAGTTGTCGCATCCTAGCTCCTTCCCGGGCGTCGGAACTGAGGGCTCTGAGCTCGCAATTGGACGAAGTTGAAATCGTTGAGCGGCCTTGCACGATGGACATTCGTAGTGCTTGCACAGATCGACCAGCTTCTCGTCGGCCTTCCGAGTCTTGAGAGCGGCCTCCACTGTCGTCAAGCTGCAGTGCCCGAAGTTGCGGTGCAGGTGCGCGATGATGGCCTCCATGTCATTGAGCTCCTTCTTCGCGCACCCCCCTACGCTCTTGGGAAGGGGTAGACGTAGGTTGCCCAGCCAGCGTTGATCGTCGTGTAGTCCGTCACCTGCTGCTGGTTCCTGAGGTCCAGGTTCTCCTTCCCCTTCTGTGGGTGCTGCGGCTGGTTCGAGAGTAAGTCGTTTGTGTTGTCCTTGCTGCCCTTCATCTTCAGGAGGCCGTTTACCCCGGATCCGATGTCGTAGATGCTCACGAATCGTAAAGACCCCATCGTTCTTCACATTGATCTCCTTGACCAGGTACGAGAGGGCTTCGTCTGACGTTATCTTCTTCATGAAGTGCTTCGCTATCTTCTTGCACATGTTCACGGGATAATTCGCAGTTGCCGCCACACGAGTCCCTCCTTCGATTGGTAGATGAACGTGTAGATCTTGACATCGACGTCCAATCTCCTTCTCGAACGTCTCATCGGTCGTCGCTATGCACCACTCCTTCCTCAGCAGCACGTCTTCCTTCTCATCGCGCATATCGTACATGCACCCGTGGATAGTACATCCGTGCAGCTCCTGCTTGAGGTTCTTGAAGTTACCCGCCCATGATCTGCATCTCACTGTCTGCTCCAGGTAGATGTCGCAGAATCCAGCTTCTCGAAGTTGTGTGATCGCCCACACCATGTTGCGCTGGATCTTTGGAGTCTTGATCAGCTTCTTCCGCGCTTCTTCGGTCGCGGGGTTCAGGTTCTGCAGGGGGCTCTCCGCTCCGCAAGGAGGTGAGAATCAGACCTTCCGTGGCCTCTTCTCCATCAGCACCTGGACCAACTTCATAGCTCCTCCTCTCGTTGTGAAGTCATAGCCGTTCCAGTTACTGAACCGTTCAGCTCGTCCTCCGGCCTCTTGCACGGCCTTCGTCAATCTCGAGTCCGCGACGCATGCCACTTCCGCCAGATCCAGACGTCCATATCGTTCTGCAGCTTCCCATGCTTCACCAGGTAGAGCTCCCAACGCGGTGGCCGCGATCAGAAGCGCGTTGACCGTCGAGTTCTTCAAACGAGGTGGAAATCCCCCGCTGACCCCGGCATGCCCGATGGCGTTGGAAGATCTTCGGGCACTGGAATTCCGCAAGCACTCTTGCTGACCATTGGTTCTGGAACGCCCTGCCGCTTCATCGCCCTCGGCGGATCGATCATCTCCCCCCCCCTTGACCTTGACGTTCTGACTTGACGAGGCTGGAGTCTGCATGAGACCCTTCTCGATGATCTCCTTGGCCAGGCGCGTCTGCTCCTCCTGTCGAATCGCGTTCCTCTCGTTCTCGATGGCCAACTGCACCTCTGTGTCCGAGAGCGCCCTGATGACCTCCGACGACAGTCTGCTCGGCAGCGGGCGGCTTGACGTAGGCTGTGGTGTACTTCGCGTGGTAGTCGGCTCGCTCTCTGAGGTGGTGTCCGCGTAGTTCATGTCCGGGTTGCAAGAGGGACGAACTCGTGGTTGAGCGTGCCCCGCTGCCTCCAACCGCCGGAAGTGCTCGCGCGACTTGGTGCAGAGGCTGAGCTGCTCGTCCTGCGGCTTCGTGAAGATGTACTTGAACAGGATCTCCCCGCAGTCCCTGCACTTGATCTGCTCCACGCGTGCGTTCGCCCCCTGACGCGTCTGGCTCTGGTGCGCACATGATCTGACCATTGAATGCCCCGATGAAGAGATTCGCGTTGTCCGACTGAGAGTAGCAACTCTGAGCCAAAACAGTTCTGGGAAACACTGAGATTCCAATCCACCGAAACTGTTCGACTTGACGAGCGTGTTTGCGATCTGCGAAACTGTCCCGAACTGCGATTCCTTCGCCACTTTCTCTCATCATATACGTGCTCCGTTCCCCGAGAAGTACCGAAATTTCCCGATCTTCGAAATCACGCGGATCGCATCTTTGAAAACGAACCCGATGATGAACTCTACATAGGGCCTCTGGAGTTCCGATCCAAGTATCCTTCTTAACCTTGTCTCCCTCGACCCAGTTCGTGTACTTCAGGAGGTGTTCTAGAATCGGTTTCATCATCTGGGTGCTCAAGTTCGGGAACTTTGAACTTATTCGGATGCTTATTTCGAGTAGCTGTTGGAGCTCTATGGGAAGGTCTTCAGCGTCCTTTGGGCCCCTGGTAGCAACAACGATGGATGACGTCTTTTCCACAGTCGTCGTGTCGCGACCAGGGCGCTGTCCCTATTCGCAACAAGAGGCCGAGCCAGCGTCGCTCAGCGCCGTCAAGTCCAGGGCAAGGTGACCAGACGCCAGCACCTTTGTGGGAATCTCCTTCTTGAGCTCCCGGAAGTACACTGCGTTCCGCTCGTAGTCGATCACCAGCCCAAACTTCTTCAGCATGTCGACTCCCAGCAGGATGGGCGACGGGCGGCCCAGCACGTAGATCTCGACTGACCGATCGTCAAGGTTGTGGACCTGGAACGAGACCTTCGAGGGAGCGTCAGCCCGATCACCACCAGCGAACGAGAAGCCCAGGCCCGCCCCCGGGTTCACCTCCATCGGGTTCTGCAGGTGCTCGTTCAGGTACTCCAGCTGCTCGACGCCGCCTACGGACCTGGACGCGCCGCCGCCCAGAAGCGCGTAGCCCTTGCACTCGCCAAGGCTGAAGCCGATGAACGTGCCGTCCTCAAAGTTGCCGTCGTCCTCAGTCAGGATCTGCTCCTCGGCGCACGCGCCCACGAAGTTACTTGTCGAACTCCACGATGTGCCCCAGAGCCCCCACGAAGCTGTTGAACGCCCTTCTACGATCAGCCGTCGTTCCACCATTGCCCCGATGGGGACAATCTCGAGCACGATGACCTTGCTCTCCACATAGCAGACAAGTATCCTGATCCACCTTCTTCGGCGCTGTACCTGATGATGTGCTCTGCTTTGTAGTTGACGGTGTGCCGCGGCCTTTGCCTTTGTTCTTGCACTTGCCCTTGCATTTCGAGGGTGGTCCGCCTCGGCTTGCCGCTCGACCTCGTCCAGCTCCTTGTCCTGGCTGAGTCGGCAGGGCGTCATACGCCCCCAGTCCGACCACTGGGAAGTAGCCCCTCGCGTTCTTCACCTCGTTGATGAGCTTCCGAGCCTCCAGGAACGTACGAGAAGCAGCGAACGCCGTCTCCGTCCACTCGTCAGCTCGCTCTTCCCCAGGAAGTACTGCCGCAGCTAGACTTTCGTCCTGTCCAAGATTATCCTCTGAGTTCGGGTTGTCGCCGATCGTCGCCGTCACGAGCTCCTCGGCGGCCGCCATCGCCGTCTCCGTCAGGTCGGCGGCCTCTCCGAAGCCGCCCTGGTAGGCCTCGTCGAAGATCTCCTCCGCGTACGCGGTCAGCTCGCCGATCTGCTCCGGGCCCTCGAAGATCGCGTGCACCCCTTTTCTGGACTTCTAGCCCTTCTGCTTGTCCCTGGCGGCCAGCTGCTCTTCGGACCACTGCTCCGCCAGCGCCTTCTTCACGTCCTGGTACATGTACGAGTTGCCCTTAGGACCGGATGTCGCCAGCACCGCCGCCTGCTCGGACGGATCCAGGCCCGTACCATCGAGCAAGATCAGCCCCAGGATGAACTCTTGCATGAAGCCCGTCGCTGGAATGTCGTTGCACACCGCGTGTAGGGCCTGCCGATCTTGCTTAGATGGATGTGGAAACTCGAGACCCACTTCTTCGGCCCCTCGCCCGGGTTCCTGTAGATGCCTCTCATGAACTCTCTCCACTTCGACACTGCCTCCTGCATCGTCACGGTACCTCGAACGCCCTTCAGCGCGTTCACGACCCGCTCGGCACCGTCCTCTTTGACCAAGTCGTCTAAAGAGACCTTCTTGGCTTCGTGCCACTGCTGGGAGTCCTCGTCCATCGCCTGAACCAGCCTGGGGCCCAGATAGACTCTGTCCTCCTTCTTCGTGCCGAGGACCCACAGCTTCACCTTCTCCTCGAAACTCTCGAGTGTCGAAGCCTCGCCATTCCACACTGGAATCTTGACTCCACCATGGCCTGACTCCATCACTCTTGATATCTATGGAGATCGAGTTATTCACCTCGAAGTGGGCTGCCACTTCGTCTCGCTACCAATGTCAGTGGAGCGTGTAGTCCACGGATCTCATCCCTGGGCTCACATTCTCTCAGAGGGTTGTCTCTCTCTTCTCACAGTATCGAACTCTGAACGAGACTGACACCCTCCCCCTCCCCCAACCCCTCCTCCTCCTCCTCCTCCTCCTCCTCCTCCTCCTCCTCCTCCTCCTCCTCCTCCTCCTCCTCCTCTTCCTCCTGTTCCTCCTCCTCCTCCTCTTCTTCTTTTTCTTCTTCTTATTATTCTTATTATTCTTCTTCTTCTTATTCTTATTCTTCTTATTATTCTTATTATTCTTATTATTATTCTTATTCTTCTTCTTCTTCTGATTATTCTTCTTCTTCTTATTATTCTTATTACTATTCTTATTATTATTATTATTCTTCTTCTTCTTCTTAGTATTATTCTTCTTCTTCTTCTTATTATTATTATTAGTATTCTTCTCTTTCGTATTCTTATTTTTCTTCTTCTTCTTATTATTATTATTATTATTGTTCTTCTTCTTATTCTGCTGATTCTTATTATTCTTCTTCTTATTCTTATTATTATTCTTATTATTCTTCTTCTTCTTCTTCATATTCTGCTTGTTATTATTCTTCTTCTTATTCTTCTTCTTATTATTCTTCTTATCCTTCTTCTTCTTATTATTCTTCTTCTTCTTATTATTATTCTTATTAGTATTATTATTATTATTATTCTTCTTCGTCTTCTTCGTCTTCTTCTTCTTATTATTATTATTCTTCTTCTTCTTCTTCGTCCTCCTCCTCCTCCTCCTCCTGCCTCCTCCTCCTCCTCCTCCTCCTCCTCCTCCTCCCTCCTCCTCCTCCTCCTCCTCCTCCTCCTCCTCCTGCTCCTGTTCCTGCTCCTGTTCCTGCTTCTGCTCCTGTTCCTAGCATCCTGTGCGTGCTCCAGCTCCTCCTCGTACTCCTGCTCTTGCTCCTGCTCCTCCTCTTCCTCCTGTTTCTCCTCCTCCTCCTCCTCCTCCTCCTCCTCCTCCTCCTCCTCTCATCATCATCATCATCAGCAGCAGCAGCAGCAGCATCATCATCAGCATCGTCATCATCATCATCATCATCATCATCATCATCATCATCATCATCATCATCATCATCATCATCATCATCATCATCATCAGGATCATCATCATCATCATCATCATCATCATCATCATCATCATCATCATCATCAGCAGCATCAGCATCAGCATCAGCATCAGCATCATCATCATCATCATCATCATCATCATCCTCATCATCATCCTCATCATCCTCATCATCATCATCATCGTCATCATCATCATCATCATCATCATCATCATCATCATCATCATCATCATCATCATCATCATCATCATCATCGTCATCATCCATCATCATCATCATCATCATCATCATCATCATCATCATCAGCAGCATCATCATCATCATCATCAGCAGCATCATCATCAGCATCAGCATCAGCATCATCATCATCATCATCATCATCAGCATCATCATCATCATCATCATCATCATCATCATCATCATCATCAGCATCATCATCATCATCAGCAGCATCATCATGAGCAGTATCAGCATCAGCAGCAGCATCATCAGCATCATCCGCATCATCATAATCGTCATCATCAGAAGCATCATCCGCATCCTCATCGTCCTCATTATCGTCATCATCATCATCATCATCATCATCATCATCATCATCGTCACCATCATCACTCATCATCATCATCATCATCATCATCATCATCAGCATCAGCATCAGCATCAGCATCATCATCATCATAATCCTCATCATCATCATCAGCATCATCATCGCCATCGCCATCGTCATCGTCAGCATCATCATCATCATCATTATCATCGCCATCATCATCATCAGAAGCATCATCATCATCATCATCAGCATCAAACATGATCATCACCACTCATCATCATCCTCACTACCATCATCATCATCATCAGCAGCAGCATCATCATCATCATCGTCATCGTCATCGCCATCGTCATCATCATCATCATCATCATCATCATCATCATCATCATCATCGTCATCAGCATCAGCATCAGCATCAGCAGCATCAGCAGCATCATCAGCAGCATCATCAGCATCATCAGCATGATCAGCATCATCACCAATATCAGCATCATCATCATCATCCTCGTCCTCCTCCTGCCCCTCAACATGAGATCGAATACAACACTGCGAACAGGAGACACGCGAGCAGGAGGGGAACAGAGAAAAGACGAAAAGCGCAAGAGACAGAAACGCCACCGGATCGGCGGCACTGGCCGGAGGCCATTCCAATCCGACGTCTTGATTGTTTAAAATTCAGGGTCCTCAGAAATCCCGACCCTTTTCCCAAGGCCGGATTGTCATCCCGAATCATTGCTCGACGGTCCGGGGGCCCGATGAGGGCCCCCCGAGGCCGAAAACGGCCAAATGCCTCCGTGATGTTGTCTACGACGCGAGCACGCCTAGGTCTTCGAGCACACACTTTTTTTTGATTCGCGGGTCGAGAGCGCACCTCTTCCGGTCGAAGCTAAGCGGGCCGCGCGAAGCTTGAATTAACCATGGAGCGGGAGGAAAAAGTCTTCGAGCACACACGTCCTGAGGACCATCGAAGAGACCTAGACGTCTGGCGTCCGGATGTTTCGAGCCACGGGCACCCGACCTCTCCACCACTTCCCCTGGACCAGTTCTTCATCCCGAATTGCGTTGCTCTTCGACGGCCCCGGGGCCCGTTAAGGGCCACGAGGGGCCAAAAAGTATGAAAAACCCTCGCCCCGATACGACAAATGTCTGTCGGGGAAACGTAAGACTAGTGTCTGGTGGACTCGGATTGGCCCGACGTGGCCGTGAGGAGTATAACGAGATCCGGACTGAAATCTGACGCGAGCTCCCTGTGCAACCATCCCACGAAAACTGGCCCGACCAAATTCAGAGCGAGACCGTCCAAGAGAGTCGGCAAGCCCAAGCTCCAGTGAACTCGAGTCTTATGTTTCCCAGAGTCTGGGGTTAAGTCGGGCGTGTCCCCCTACAGGGAGATTTTGGGCGAAGAATGAAAGATACCCCAAAAATTCTCCAAAAATACTCAAAAATAGTCAAAACGTAGTCCCCAGACTATTTTTCATTATTTTTCGACCATTTGGAGGTATTTGTTGAATATTTGTGGAGCATCGTCGAAAAATCCCCCTGTAGGGGGGCAGGCCCGACTTAGGTCTGCGGAGGAGGCGCCTGGGCCGGCCCCGGCACCAGCAGGGAGGTGAACTCCTCCTCCGCGCGCCGCAGGGCGGACCGCAGGTCCGCGTCCTTCCGCCGCAGCTCCGCCTCGGCGGCAGCGGCGGCCCCTGCGGCCGACGCTCCTCGGCGGGACCCCGACACCTTACGCCTCGCCGTATGCTGTCCCCATCCTACTTCAGGACCACATGCCATAAATAACTTCGAGCACCCAGAGAAGCGTCAGAGGAGTGTCGAAAGGGTGTCGAGACAGTGTCGGGCGAGTGTCCCCCGGGGCCCGACACGAGAAAACCCTTGCGTTTCGATACTTCTTTTGGCCGCTCGAAAATTCTTCCTGGTGCTCAAGGCTAAAGTAGGCTAGAACATCATAAGCCTCGACAAAGAAGCGACGGGGAGAAGCTCCTCCTCCTCCTCCTCCTCCTCCTCCTCCTCCTCCTCCTCCTCCTCCTCCTGCTCCTCCTCCTCCGCCACCTGCTCATCCTAGTCCTGGCTCCTTCTGCCTCCTCCTCCTCCTCATCATCATCATCATCCTCCTCCTCCTTCTCCTCCACCTCCTCCACCTCCTGCCTCCTGCCTCCTGCCTCCTGTCTCCTCCTCCTCCTGCTCTTCTGGCTTCGCCGGTTCTCGGCGATTTGCCTCGAGATGCTCCAGCAGCTGCGCCTCGCCGAGAACGCTCCAAGGGGTGCTCTCGGCTCGTCCCGATCGGCCGCCGGAGAGGTCCGAGCTGTGACCCGAGCGGATGGGCACCAACACCAAAACAGGTGGTTGCCTCCACAGGGGGAAGATGATCCTAGATTTCGGTGTTGGTGGCCATATTTCGGCCACCTTGGAAGCCAGAATATTACCACCATCACCGAGATCGGGATCTTCTGCCCTCGGTGGAGGCACACCGCCGATACTGGTGTTGGTGTTAACTTCTAGGCCTGCGATCTTCTGGCTTCGCCGGTTCTCGGCGGTGGCCTCGAGGTGCTCTCCAGCAGCTGCGCCTCGCCGAGAGCGCTCCAGGGGTGCTCGGCTCGTCCCGATCGGCCGCCAGAGAAGTCCGAGTTGTGACCCGATCGGGGATGGACAGACCTCCCTTTAGTAAAACGTGGTTTAGTGAAAACGACCTGAGGCCCAAACCTGGCGGGCGCAGGCCTGGAAAATAACGGCCGCGGCGCCCTCTCGAGAACCGAACACGGACAATTCACTAATCGACGTGTCACTGTTGGGGGTTCTGTCCACCCCCGAGAAGAGGAAGGCCTTCTCAGAGGGCGGCGGGGCTTTCTCGGAAGGCCTCGCGCCTTCCGAGACACTTTCTCTGTGCGTCTTCGGGGAAGGCTCGCCGCAGACTTCCGAGGAGGCCTGGGGGACTTCAGCTATGTCGGGCGTGTCCCCCTACAAGGGGGATTTCCGACGGAGAATGAAAAATGCCCGCAAAAATACCCCAAAAAAGGTTAAAAAGATAGTCAAAATATAGTCCCCAGACTATGTTTAGACTATTTTGCTTATTATCTTTTAAGGTATTGCTTATTTTTCGTCGAAAATCCCCCTGTAGGGGGACAGGCCCGACTTAAGACTGCAGGGCCTTCCGAGCAGGCCCGCGCCTCCAACCCTTCCCCCGGGGCTCGCCGCCGAGCCTGAGGCGTGCTCCGTGGAACACTCGGCCAGTGGGGCCCGCTGTCGAGCCACTGGACCATCCAGAGCGGGTCCAGCGA